GCAACCCCCTTGTGGGAGTTAAAAAAAAACTAGTGATAAAGTGACACCTAATGAGACTCCGTTACTGAGAGCTGCAGGTAAGTACACATCAGGTGATAACTAGTGCTCAACAGGCTGACCTACCAGATGAGTGATTCTCTGATAGGAAGGTCCATGGAGCTTCTGGCTATGGAAACTAGTTGCTCCTGTCGTTTCTTCCCTAGGAAAGCTTTGGGTGTTTTCCCACTGCTGTGTCTATCTCATGAAAATCGTCCATTTGCCGTATCTGCGGACCGTCAGGAAGATTACTTTTCATTACTGTGTAATTTGATATCTAGGAAGCATAGTGGGACACATCTCCTAGTTAGATCTATTTGTCCCTCAGAGTCTATAGACACTTAAGATCCTGCTTTGTTCTCTTGCTCATCACTAACTGCACACAATTGGCTCACTTTCAACTCGGAGCAAGTTCAAACTAGACTAAAGGCTTTTTGCATATAAATAGTAAGTTTAAGGCTTTGTAGTTACATACAAGGTTGGAGTCCCAGACTTGGTCTCACCAGGTTGCTATGCAGAGCAGCCTAGGAAGGGCAGGCCAGTTCTTTGCTTGTCAAGTTTGTTAACAACGGACCTGTTTCTCAAAGTTGTCACCACTGTAGCTAAAGGGTCTGCGGGTATCTTGGTGTTTGCATTTCTGTTTTTAGAGTGTGCAGAATACTTTCCCGTACTAAAGATGCTGAAATGTGGGGCCAAAGGCTCCATGTAGGCACTGGCTCGGCATCTCCTTCTGTTGTGTGAATGTTGTCTTCAGCGGTGAGGTCCTGCTGTCAGTTTGTGGAGAGCAACCTACAGTCTTGGCAACAGCCTGCTTTGTTTGGGGATTCCACCCTTGGCCAACAACTCAAGTAGATGCACCCTTGGCCAACAACTCAAGTAGATACACCTTTGGCCAACAACTCAAGCAGATGCACCCTTGGCCAACAACTCAAGTAGATGCAATCCAACACAACATACTCAGGGCACAAGGCTCAGAGGACTCTAGCTGTATCTCACCTGAAAGCCTTTTTCCTGCAGTGTAGCTTTCATGGCAACACAGTGCAAGCTGCTAATAGAGGGAAAAAACTGAGCAGTTCTACCCAGACGCAACAGTCATAAACCACAATTACTAACATGCAAGACATGCACCAAGGTGCAAGAAGTGGCAGTTACATCTTGGTGGCTCCCAACGACTGCCTCATTGGACTTAAGATCCACTAAACAGGAGGGAAATCATGCCTGGTACTGGAAATTCACCAGCTTCCTAGGGGTAATGAGGTCATGGACATTTTAAAAACAATCTACTGTTGCCACTTTGTTAGACCAGCACACTACTACATTCCAAGTTACTTATTTAAGATTAGAAACAATCTTATTTTACATGTCAACCCCAGTTCCCTCTCCCTCCCCTCCCACCTGCCCTCAACTGATCCCCCATCCCATCCCCTTTCTGCTTCCCAGAGAGGGTGAGGCCTTCCATGGGGGATCTTCAAATTCTGTCACATCATTTGGAGCAGGGCCTAGGCTCTCCCCTGTGTGTCTAGGCTGAGAGATTATCCCTCTATGTGGAATGGACTCCCAAACTCCATTCGTGAACTAGGGATAAATACTGATCCACTACCAGAGGCCCCATAGATTGCCGAGACCTCCTAACTGACACCCACTTTCAGGGCTCTGGGTCAGTCCTATGCTGGTTTCCCAGCTATCAGTCTGGGGTTCATGAGCTTCCACTTGTTCAGGTCAGCTGTCTCTGTGGGTTTCTCCAGCCTGGTCTTGATCCCTTTGCTCATCACTCCTCCCTCTCTGCAACTGGATTCCAGGAGTTCAGTTCAGTGATTAGCTGTGGGTGTCTGCTTCTGCTTCCATCAACTACTGGATGAAGGCTCTAGGATGGCATATAAGGCAGTCATCATTCTCATTATTGGGGAAGGGCATTTAAGGTAGCCTCTCCACTATTGCTTAGATTGTTAGTTGGGGTAATCCTTGTAGATCTCTGGACATTTCCCTAGAACTACATTCTAAATCTTATACTGATAAGTGTCTTTCCACATATGAGCAATGGCATGAGCAAGCACCCAGGCAAACACACACACTCATACACACACCCATATGCACATATCAATACACACATTCACCCATTCATAATGCTCACACATACCTATTTACATACCTTTATACCCTCACATACACACACATGCTCACACATACTTTCACTCAGATACACACACTCACACAACACACACTCACCTATATATAATCATACAATCACATAATTAAACAATCCAACCCCCACACAGTCACACATACTAATGTGTTCACTCCCCCATACTCATACATACACACTATCATACATGCACTCTTACAAACATATTCATACACACTCACATACACGCTCACTCATACATACAGATACACACAATCATTCCCACAATCACCTCCACTCGTACTCACACACCCAAACACACTCACACACAATCACTCTCGCAAACACTCTTACCCATGCACACACTCACACACAATCATTCTCACACAATTCTCTCACTCACAGATACATCCATCCATAGTATGCTCAGAAATATACACATATTCTCCCACACTCATGCATACACCTCATTCGTACACACACACTCACATATTCTCATATACACCTATACACACTTTCCCATACATACTCTCATAAGCACACTCAGGTATACAGCCACACATACAGCCACACACACTCATCACCCCACACTCACATACTCATCATACCCACCACAGTTATATTCACACACCGGCCCACACATACACACTTACACGTGCTCTCACAATACTCAGACACATACACACATAAGCTCACATATACTCCCCAGTCACACACACACACACTCTTGTACACACACATATATACACTCACATTCACATACACACACCCCTTTATAGTCTTAACCCACATACACTCACACACACTTATGCTTCCCCTATACTAGCATACAAACAACTCCATACTCATGCACACACGCTTACAGACACACTGTCACAATCTGACACACCCATATAGACACTCATATGCACACACACTCACACACACACACACACATATAGACATCCACATACACTCAGTCACATAGACATACACTGAACAAAAAACCACTGTTAGGAGTGAAAAAAGTTCTCTACTCACTTTTTCTTTTTTCCATTTCCCTTGATTTTGTCAAGGAGTCTCGCGGGTGCTGGATATGAGAGAATTGGAAAGGCAAGGAGAAAATAAGGCCCAATGACTGTGATATTTCGATCAGTGCATGGAAAGGAAAGGGATCATTTTCTCCGTTTCACAGAAACCTAACTAGGAAATATGCATGTAATTAAGCTCTCTCTGCCTGTTGAGGTGTGACTGCCGTGTGGGGCGTGTGTGTGTGTGTGTGTGTGTGTGTGTGTGTGTGTGTGTGTTAAAGAAGAAATCCATCACTGAGCTCCACCCCACCATCAGCCCAGGAATGAGCTCTTTAACAAGCCTCCCACAGTGGGGTAAAATCTCCTGGATCATGATGAGAGAGGATTGGCCTTCAGCTCTTTTTCAACTGACCATGCGAAATCTTGCTTTTTTTGTTTTTTAATGTGGAGGTGTAAACACCTCAGTGCTAAGTGGTCTTCCTTCTTAATGTTTATTTAAAACTATAAAATATCTCTCTCTCCTAATACTGCTCTAGTTGTCTACACTCTAAAATTTTGCAGATATTAACCAACATATTTTCCATCCGTCCTACTGTAAAAGAAATACAATCACATCACAGAAGATTTGAGGCATGGGAGCAAAAGGAAGTACTCGTGTGTTGTAACTTTTCTTCTAGTACATGTGGAAAGCATAGGCAGGCGTCCCAGACCACGGGTCAAAGAAAGAATTCCGCCTGATTTCGTTTGGTGAACCAGTGAGTTTCTGGGTTAATTCAGGAGCACAGATGAGTGGGATGGCTGGATTACTACAAAGCCTGTCCCAGCAAGCATGACAACCCAGAAAGACTGCATCCCCGAAGTCCCTGAGTAACTGCATTAAAAGAGCTTCCTCTCATGGGGTGGTGGCTTAGTGCTTCTATGACTCCCCCAAAATTTCTTTTAAATCTTCTTCTTCATAAGTTTTTTTTATTCACTTAAAAAATGAATTTGGTGAAGCCTCTGGTCCTATCCAAGAAGGAGTGTGTAAATCTGCAGGAAACATTAGATGCTCAGTAGCCTGCAAGAGCATTACTCTATTACCAGCTGCCACGAAGAAACACAATGCTGTTTTGGTTATATAAGGTTCTATGTTTTTTCCTGTAAAGGACTCAGATTATTTGGTCTCAGTGCTTCTCGGGGTGCTTGCTCTGAAAGTCGTGGCTCTTGGCTGGCATTATATCTACTTCGAGAGTCTGCAGGTCAGGATTAGATTGCTAGGTAGCCTTATGCTGATGACTGTTCATTTGGAAAATTTATCTTATGTTATAAGGAAGGGTTTATTTTCAAATGTATTAAGTGAACACTTTTAGTGAAATGCCATCATAATGTCCACAATGTTACACATCTCTGTATTCATCCATGCTCAAGTCAGCATAGTAAAACAATGCACACAGTCACATCGGCAAGGGATTGGTGCATCATACTACAGGCAAGGGTCTGGGAGACAGAATAGATGACTTTTTTTAATTTGTATTAATGGGACCAAATTGCATAGTCTCCAATATTCATTTGTATCCTGGCAATATATTCTGATGGCCATGGAACTTGACGGTTCCTTTCCTTACAACAGAGTTGTCGTTAGACAGAAGTGCCTTTGTTAAAGCTATATTGTGTATGATGGCAGTCTCGTGACAGTTTTTCTTATACATTTGCTAAAGGAATTATAAAACTATGTACTTAGTTTATACATAGTTTACATATTTATACATTTAGTTTATTTAATTTTTTCATTATGTTATGATATATATGTTATATATAATATCATAATGCAACCATTTGGGCAGAAACAGAGAGATTCTAAAGAAAGATACTTGTGAACCTCTTTTTGCCAACAGATTGTTGAAACTCCAGTTCCCAAGAACAGGAATTTTCCCAGAATTCTCCTTCTGGGAGAATAAGAAGACAAGCCTTATGCCTGCCACAAAAGAAACTCGTTTAACAGGAAAAGATGTCACACACTTGTCAGACCATCTTTCAGGTGAAACTGGAGCCCAGGCACTGACAGACCGCTCTTTAACTAGGACTGCTAATTTTTGCACACCTTTCTGCTTGTTTTGTACACTAAATGAAAAGATAATAGAGTCTGAAAAAGATGGAAGAGAACATATCCTGTAAACTGTGTGTTCTCAATGCAGAATCAGATCGCGGAGATGTTGATACTCTGAGTTATTCAATTTTGTTGCCTCAAAACCACTTTTCCCCCAGTTGGTTTACTGAAAACTGCCTGCATGAGCTTGTTAGAGTCAACAGTTAGCTTTTAGAAATCCTGTTGGTGTCTTGAAGTGAGTCACATAATGAGACACTATGGAAAACAGCAAATGAGTACTTTTTCTTTTTTCTTTCGTACAGCCTTTCTCTTTTTCTTCTCCCTCTCTCCCTCTCTGTCTCTAGGGTTAGGAGTGAAAAATTCAATGATTAGTACCCAGCTGGCTACTAAAAATTCCCTGTAAAGTTGTTGTAAACCAAAGTACGTTCTTGGTTAGAAAAAGATGAAGGCTGAATAAAAGAATGTTTTCTCAAAATTCTTATATAGCTCCTGAATTTCTCCCCAAATGAACATATGTCAAAAAATAAGCGCTTCATTTAAAATGGAAAATGTTCTATTTTGCTTCTTGGGAAAGTTTCTATTAAGGATTTTCTCCGTGCCCCAGGACTTCGACATGACTCCAGAGATTCTCTTGGGCTGAGATTCCCAGCAGAAAGCACAGCTTCATGCTCTCCCTGGTGAATGTGGCTTTGGTCCCAGGCCACATGTAGGTGTCAAATAATAAGTGCAGCAAATTAAAGCAATAGCAGCTCAATATCTCATAGCCATGTAGATCCTGGAGGATTCCAGTGGGTCCTCTATGGTCTCATAGGCCAAAGCACAGACCCTGTCACACACACTAACCCGATTGTTAGTAGGGTCATTGTGACTGGACTGACTGTACTTTTCCTTAGTGGTCTCTCTTGTCTATAGAGTATCTTCTCTACCTTCACACCTTCAAACTATGTATCAAATTCTTATTGCTTTGAATCTTTCTGGCTCCCTCTTCTTCCATCAGACAGACAGCACTCTCTTCTTCAGTCGTTTCTGTGGGTATCTGAGATACACCTACATTTCATCAACTAAAAGTCACTTGACTTGGTAACTTCAACTATCTTTGCAGAATTCCTTCATCATATAAGATAATATGCCATAGATGTCACGGTTAGTCATATTCATAGGCTTGAAGACTGAGGCGAAATTTCTCCAGGCCATCTTAGAATTAGTGCTACCCAGGCCTTGTCCAAGTTTTAGCTCACTTTGCCCTCTTTAGCATGAATATGCTTTTCACTATCTCTGGTAACAGACCTCCAGTGAGCCTTCTCCTCGGGCTTAAAAGTAACATCAGATGAATCAGAATTTCCAATTTTGCTGCAGTGAGGGGCAGAATTTCATGTACAAAGTTAAGTCTATACACAGCACAGCTTCTAGTGTTAGTGTCTGTTTGGGGGAGTATTTAAATGTTGCTGCATAAGGACATTTAATCCTTTGTATTATTGCATTTAGTGATGCTTATCTTTGAGAGAAACAAATTCAAATGATTTCTTAGCGTCTTGAAGTATAATTAGGACAGTGTTTTCTAAAGCCTTTCTTTTGAAAATGCCAACAGTTTCTGATAAATGAAAGGTCATATTCATATTTTGTCATTAAAATCATTATCTTTGCATGATTAATTGTCTTGGCATTCAATAAATGATTGTACTTACATTTTGCTGTTATTATATGAAAAATACTGATTTAGATCCACAAGAATGTTAAAGTTATTAATTGATTGTAATTGTCCTAATCTCTGTCTTTCATTATCTCATCAGTTTAATGACATGAAATAACTGCAATTTATGAAAGGTAACCCACTTCTAAGTTTAGCTTGTGATTTTGAAAGCTAAAGGTCCCTAAATGGTGGCATGATCTTCTGAATCAAGAGAATGTAATAATGCTAACCATTCCCATGTGGAAGTTAGCATTATTCTGTCTTCAAAGGAGGAAAGTTTCACAAGATACTTTTTTTTCTTCCAAAGGAAAACAATTCAAAATGCTCAACTCTTACCCCTTTACTCTCTAGAGACCGGCTGTGTTCGTTAGAAAGTGTTAGCTACCACTGTCCCTTCCTTCCTACCTTTTGTATTGTGAGGGATGAGAGAGTTAACTGTTGAACAAATGCAAATTCTGTTTTGACCTGAAGTACTCTATAGTATTGCTTCCCCTCATTGATGTGTCTTGGTCTACCCAGGAAAACAGAACTTCAGACTTTGTAATTTTATCATTATGGGGACTATTATTGACAGTCCCAACCTTCATTCATATACTTCTCTTATAGTCTTTGGCTTTCCTTGTGAGACAGGCAGAATCCTTTTGTCAGGACTTTAGTCTTCTGCTAGGCACTGAATGCTCTCTTCCTGGAGAGAAGCCAATCAAGACAGATTTATTCTTGCTATTAAAACAATAAAGAAACAGCCTATTAATTTTTACTATTAAAAACTCCTGGTCCCTATCTTTCTAAATCTTATTCAATAGCTTTCGTTTAATCTTTTGGAGTTTTAGATTACTAGCTGTTTTTTTTTAACCCCTCTCCCAACTTACCAAGATTTTATTTTTATGTTAGCCGAAGACACATAATTAAGGTATTCATTTATCTGTGTATAAATTCAGTTATATGTACATCAAATTCTATTGCTATGATACTGTTCTCAGATTCCCTGATTCAAGGCACTAAGAAGAAATTGGGCGAAATAGACTAAGCTTTGCCTCCTTGCTTTTTTGATAATTAACTAGTGGCTCACATGTTTATGAGAATATTCAAAATATTGTCTTCTATTATTTAAACCTTAAACACTAGACCTAACAAGAAAAAGGTACAGAGGGCAATTGTGTAAGTTTTTGTTTTCCCTTTTCTTCCACTTTCCTCTCTTTCTTTCTATTTGTCCTGTTTCTTCCTCTGCAATAATGATATTTAGAGGGGACATTATTGAGTAACTTGTGCATGTTGAAGAACTTTGAATGTCAGAGTTACTTCTCTATAGCACAGGATAAGTGCGCTCTTATTTAACAAGTATATTAACAATTATATAATAAGTATATTAGCAAAGGGGACAGTAACACTTTACATTGTGGTGTTTCTCAGAAAGATGTCATATTTAACTTACGTTTTCACATCATCATACTAAGTCGGTAGCTCCTAAAGATTTCTTTAAGAAACTTGCTATAAATTGTAGAAATATTTTGTGTGAAATTTCAGCCAATTTTTAGAAAGAACCTCTCTTGTGGTTTTCTATAAATTATACTTTTGATAATTATCATAGAACAATTGTATTGTTTCTATGTGACCAGAAAAAATAAAATTACATTTGTAAAATACAGGTCATAAGTACAAAAAAAGAGCATTACAGTTGATAATGGGATTTGTAACTTAAAAAATATCATGCAAGTTATACCATTAGAATAAAAAAAAAAAGAGAGAGATGTGCGCTGGTTATTTTCATGTCAACTTAACACAAGCTATAGTCTTCGGAGAGGAGGCAGTCTCAACTGCGAAAACACCTCCACAAATCTCAGCTGTAGTCAAGCCTGGAAGACAAGTTCTTATTAGTGACAGGGGAGAGCCAAGTGTATTGTGGGTGGTGCCACCCCTGGGCTGGTGGTCCTGGGTTCTCTAAGAAAGCACGCTGAGCAAGCCATGAGGAGCAAGCCGGTGAGCAGCCCAACTCCGTGGCCTCTGCATCAGCTCCTGCCTCCAGGTTCCTGCCGTGTGAGAGCTCCTGCCCTCACTGCTTGTGATGGTGGACTGTGACCCGGAGATGTGAGTGAAATAAATACTTTCCTGCCCAAGTTGTGTTTTTGGTCACAGTGTTTCAGCTCAGCAATAGCAAGCCTCAGGCAAGTGGGAAATGAGTATTACAAAGAAAAGGAGTAGTGACAGGTGTCACAGAAGTAAATGGAGAAGGATAAAGCTGGTTGCCACGTGAGCCAAACTAAACCTTGTAACTAACATCAGTATATTTATCTGGCTTCCTCTCTCTGTGTGACTTTGAAAACTTCAACTCAACTCACTTCCTTTCTTGAGTGAATCGCATCATTACAAACTAGAAATGATGAAATCTGGTAATACGGCTCCTTCATATTGTGAGTCTGACCCCCTCCATGACTTGCTGGCAAATCCCTTGCACCTCTGATTCTTCCCCTATTCCCCCCTCTCGCTCTTTCTCTTTGGAAGTCTCACCTATACTCTCCTGCCTAGTTATTGGTCAGTCAGCTCTTTATTAAACCAATCAGAAGCCACCTTCAGCTGAGACACATCTTCACAGTGTACCTAAAGATTATCCCACGATGTTGCTCTTTCAGGAGTTACTAGGTGGTGAGGTCACATAGACACCCAAACATTGCATATGGTTACCACTGCTCTAGGATACCATACAGAACTTGGAGGCAGTATTCTATTGTTAAATATACTACACAGAGTCAGAGAACATGGAGAAATCATGCTGGTACTGACCTTGAAGCTCCACCTGTATTGGCTAGCTTTCATAGTGCTGGATGTCAGTGTGCCAGCTACTGGAGAAGCAAAAATAATTATCAGTCATATCTAGATGTGAACCCTGTGTGCTATAATAATGATTGGCTTGGAAAAACACGCCCACTGGGAGTGGTGGCATAAATACTATGGAAGTAAACATTCGTAGTCTGATTGGATGTATGTCCTGTTGCACGGGATAGAACCCACACCAGACATCATTATTAGACTAAGAACCTGTGGCTAAGCAGGCCATAAGCCCTAGGGAAGATCCTATTACCATGAGGGTGCTGAATAGACATTGGATTAAACTTATTTCTAATGACTTATCATTATCCCCATAGATCAATGACTCTTTTGACCCTCTTTGGGAAGACGCTATTTGCAGTAGATAGTGATTAACACAGAGACACCCCACCTGGCCAATGTGCAGGGAATGTGGAATTTTCTGCCTCATAGAGTACATAGATACCACAATCCCCTCTTCAAGGCTCAGCAATCATTGTGGGAGAGGGGACAGAAAGAGTACTAGCATCTGAAGCAATAAACGCATGCCAGGAAGCTTTATCTTCTGAACAATCTGGACAACTGTGCACAAGTACTCACAGTGGTTGCAGCAGTAAGTTAAAAAAAAACAAACATGGTCAAGGGTAAGCCAGTCCAAATCCCACAAGGCAAGAGGAGCTGAACACACAGCCCCACACCTAGCCATGGAGCTATTGACAATTGTTACCTGCTGGCTGAGCGAAAGAGTTTTCGCTAAGAGTGGAGCTCTTGATAAGTTGACTACGCTCCAGTAAGAGAACACACACCCATGGATATTTGGGCAACACAAATTTGTCTTAAAGGATCTAAAAAAATGTGACGTAAAATTGGGTGGTTAGGGAAGGAAAGTGAATTCGGAGGTGTGCACAAGTGTGTGTGTGTGTGTGTGTGTGTGTGAATGTGAATAAAGCCATTGTATGAAATTTATGAAGAACTAGCAGCAGCAGCAGCAGCAAAACCTCAGTTAAAAATCTGTGAAGCCTACTGATGCCTGATGGCCTTGAATTCTACATTCTGTTTCTCAAAGTAGATTTTGGTCTGTTTGCATTTCTCTGTGTTCTGGCTACTCATTCCCCTACCACCCATGGGTTTGTACTCTGCTCTTGAATCTCAGTCTACGACTGGGGTTTTGCTGAACCTGGATACTTTTTTTTTCCTGCTCTTTTTGTGGTAGCCCTCAGTTCCTCGGGACACACTGCTTTTCATCTCAGTTCAAGTGAGTCTTCTTAGGGAACAATGTGGTAACTCTGTCATATGAAAACACAAAAACGTGGATATTTTTAGCTTTATAGCGGCTTTCTCGTTCCTCTTTTGTTCATTTAGACCATAAATGGGCACCTAGGGCCAGTGTGATCATCTGGAGTCCATGACATAAATACAGCAGGGTTAGCTTTGAGCTTTTCCAGAATGTCCTCAAATTATTACTTAGATCTTTATAAAAAAGAAACACAATGGACCCCAGGCTGATGGCTGAGAGGCCAGCATGGGACTGATCCAGACCCTTTAAATTTGGGTGTCAGTGAGAAGGCCTTGGTTATCTATGGAGCCCAGGGTAGTAGATCAGTATTTATCCCTGGCATACGAATGGACTTTGGGAGCCCATTCTACATGAAGGGATACTCTCTTAGCCTAGGCCCTGCCCTGGATGACATGACAGACTTTGGATATCCCCATGGAGGGCCTCACCCTCCCTGGGGAGCAGAGTGGGGATTGGCTAGGGGATTGCAGATGTTTGTGGGGGACAGGGGAGGAGGGGAGAGAGAGGGAGCTGGGATTGACATGTGAAGCAATCCTATTTCTCGCTTAAAAAAAGAGAGATAGAGAAAAAAACAAACAGTTGGCTGCCTACAGAGTCTAACTCTGATGTATACAAGAGTACTATAAAATGTGTTATAGACTGACACTGAGAGACTACTTGTGGAATCTGAAGATAGGGGTATTGATGCCTTTTCCCCAACAGCTTTTCTGGAATGGAGGTTTGCGTGCCAACTCAATTTGCCTGACAGTGTGCTCTCTAACTGGTGAATCATCTCTCCAAATCTTTTGATACATATGTAGCTCTCATCCCTCATCAAAGGAAGCTTCTTTTTCCAGAAGATGAAGACCATTGCAGAAATCCACAACTGGCCACCATGCAGAGAACAATTGACCATAGGGGTGTCCAATCTCAGTTGATATTTAAATACAACATGTACACTTAAGCCTCAGGGAATGTTACGGAAGAGGAGGGAGAAAGACTGTGAGTGTCAGAGGGCCATGTCTGCTTCCAGACAGTATCCTCTGTTTATGATGGGGAATGTGTACCCCTGAGATCTCAGCATGGTTGCCTGAACAAGACTGCAAAATGACAATGCCAGTTGATATGCCACTGTTAATGGAATAACAGAATAAGTCTCAGCTTCTCCCCTGGATGAAAAACTTCATGCAGTTAATGACTACTGAAAGAAGGGGTTAGGTACCAAGGGATGAGGCCTCTAATAGGATACATCCAATATCAAATGGTCGGCCCTAAACACACATAAATGTAAGCAACATCAAATAGACTCAGCACACACACACACACACACACACACACACACACACACACACACACACACACACACGCTTGAATTTTGAGACAGTCTTTCTCCATATCGTCCTGGCTGTCCTGGAACTTACTCTGGCGGCCACTCTGGCCTCAAAATCAGAGATCTGCCTACTTCTGTCTCTCGAGTGCTAGGATTAAAGGTGTGTGCCAACACCACCTGGCTGTATTTATATAGCAATACATGTATACATGTAAAATAATAATTCAGGAAAAAGAGGTCCTGAAAAATATTAATTGGCTTTTTCTCAACTTGTTACCCTCACTTTAGGATTCTTGTTTGTGATCCTGTGTATTCCTTCCCAACTTCCCTTCTTCCTGTGTTTGCTGTGTCTGCAGAATCGCTTCCATTCAAAGAAAATCTTTAATTGATGGATCAAGACTGAAAAAAAATACAGAATATCATTAAGAAGTTTGATGAGTTGAAATTGTTTTTGCTGTCTGCTGTAGGGGATGTGTGTTTCTCTCTCTCTCTCTCACTCTCACTTTCTCTCTCTCTCTCTCTCTCACACCACACACACACTCACAGGCTACAACAGTGACAATGGACTGACATTGGTTAATGGGAGAGGAAACTTTATGGCAGGACATCCAGGCTTGATGCTATCGGCCACTCTGCTTTGTTTGTCCGATATGACTGATACCTTCCTCCTCTGCCATGGCTGCCATGTAGAGGTGAAGATTCTGCACCTATTTTCAAAGCTCCTAGCCACTGCTTGCATCGTTGTATTTTTGCCATATTTATTCTTCCCTTTAGAGCTACTTGCTTATGAGAATGAGTTTATATTTTCAAAATTTTGCTCTGTATCTTTGTAATTTTGAGGTAGAGGTAAGGGGTGAAAAAGAGGCCTTGCAGGTGAAATCATAAGCCATCCTGACCAGATGTCCCTACTATTCAGAATGATACATCTGCATCAAGTGTGTAGTGTGTTAGCATGAACTCAGTCCTGAGATGTGAGTTAAATTGAGAGAGATTAAAAAATTAAATAAATAACAAAAGGATACCAAGCATGCTCTGTGGTAGGAATAATGGAGAGATACTTTATGGGTTTAGATTTCACACTGGAGCTGCAACAGGGCTCTTAGCATGGCTACACTGCCCTCCAGGGGATAGTTTTGAAGTTGACCATAGCTATTCTTGTTATTGTAGGAGAGCCAGTATTTAATAGGTGGAGACCAAACGCATGGTTCATTTCCTATAATGTTCAGAACCATCTCATAATGAAGTGTTCAGAATGACCTTCTGACTCCTAGAGAGAATTTTATCTATGTCAAACAACTATTTCAAATAATCTAAATGAAGACTACATTCCACAGATTATAATGCTAAGTATTTTTGCAAGGCGCTCTCATTAAATGAGTCTTCTAGGAACTTAACCACCATATTAGTTTGGTGACAATCGCACATTTTTGTTCAGAGCTTTACCAAGAATTATTCACTATTTCAAAAATAGTCATTTCACAGACAGCAAAAATCTCATGGCACATAAATCATTAAAATCATAAGTCCTAGCTATTTTGTCATTTGTGACCTTCATAAGCAATAATGAAAAGAATCTTTTGAAAGGACTTAGAATCTAATATTGTTTGGAGAAATAACATGAACCTGAAGAAATTTTCTTGTAATCTGTTTCTTGCAAGGGTTTTATTTAACAGTCATTTTTACATATTTTGACTTTTGCGTGTGGCATAGTGATGTATATTGAATATGTCAAAACTCCTTATCTTTGTGCTCATATTACATCCAGAGGACAGAACATTACCATCACTGATGCTCTTCAGTCTTTTGTATAGAACTTCTTTTAAAAAATTAATAGTAGGTTTCTATGGAGTTTTTCAAATGGCATTTACTGTTCTCTCCCATCCTCCTTCCTGTTTTATAGTCCTATTTCAGTTTTACCTTTATCTCCCCAGAACACTACATTCTACTTCCCGTTCCTTGTAAGATCCTCCCCATTCCCAGATGCACAGTATATGCCTTTTTTGGATCTAGGCTACCTCATTCAGTATAATTCTTTTTTCTAACTCCATCAATTTTTTCCAAAAATTTCATTTTTTTAACAAATGAATAATATTCGATTATATAAATGTACCACATTTTTTCCTTATCAATTTGTTGGTTGATGGACATCTAGGCCGTTTCCAATTTCAGGCAATTATAAATAGATCAGCAATGAACATTTATGAGCAAGTGTCTTAGTTAACATTAATTTTGGGCTTGCTTACAGTTTTAGAGAGTTAGTCCATGAACATCATGATGGGAAACAGACAGACATGGCATCGGAGTGGTTGAGAACTTTAAGCCCAGATCTGTAGGCAGCAGAGAGAGAGAGAGAGAGAGAGAGAGAGAGAGAGAGAGAGAGAGAGAGAGAGAGAGAGAGAGAGAGAGGGGGACAGAGAAAGAGTGGGAGGGAGAGAGGAAGAAAGAGAGAGAGAGACAGAGAGACAGAGAGACATTGGACCTGGCACAGACTTTTGAAACCGCAAAGACCACCCTGAGTGACACACCTCCTCCAACAAAGCTGAATCTCCTAATCTTTCCCAAACACATCCACTAACTGTGACCAGGCATCCAGTCACAGGAGCCTTTGGAGCCATCCTGACACAGAACACCACAGGAAAACTATCTCTGTAGTAGGATTTATAGCCCTGCGGGTGTATGCCCAAGAGTGATATACCTGGGTTTTGGTGTAGATCTATTCCCAGCTCCTTGAGAAACGGCCACCATTGATTTCTGTAGCAGCTGTTCCAGTTTCCACTCACATGAACAACGAGTACCATCTTCCTTGTATACTTGCCAGCACTTGTTGTCATTCATCTTACTGATCTTGGCCTTTCTAATTGGGGAGAGAGGAAATCTCAAAGTAGTTCTATTTCATGTTTCCATGGTGGTGAAGGACAACGAGCATTTCTCTAAGTGTTTCTCTGCCATTTGTGTTTCATCTTTTTTTTTAACTGATTGATTAGTTATGCACCCCACTTTTGAATTAGAAACCTACTCCTGAAGAAGGATACATGTAATCTAATAAATAGGCTAAACAGTCACCAAAGTATACATAGACAATAATGCCCCAAATGGGTACCTATGAAATCACATAAGACACACCCCCAGCACCAGGAATAGTTTACCTCTTCTTTATTCATTACCAGAGGGCTTCCTTGGACCCTCCCCTGTGGAGTGTAGTCTTCCCCACCATCTGCCTGGGCCCTGCCACAGTTGCAGTCCCCAGATAACACACAGGACACTATATTAATTATGAAGCTGTTGCCGTTTGCTTGTTTCTTACTGGGTAGCTCTGACTTAAGTATTTAACCCATAATTGCTAACTTTATCATAGTCAAATTATACATAACAGAACAGTTATCAAATAAGAACATACTTACAATATTTTGTCCATTAACATTTAGTAAGATTTAAAGAAAATATAATCTATCCTATCTTTGTGAGTCTAAAGTCTTATATGTAACTTATCTGTTATCATAACTAAGGAAAACTATAACTTCAACTATCTGTCTTCAACTCCATCAAAGAACACAGAAGGATAACATATAAACCCTAGAATTTACAGAGACATCTTGCTACCTGGACAGTCACCCGAAGTTCCTCTGTAAAGTTGGGGGATCCATCTTCAGTCCATAGGCCACAGGGTGTTTGGAAGACTTTCAAGCTGTCCATATGCATTGGCAGTCCATCAGTCATTTCTCTGTGTCCTGTAGAAAGTCTCCAAACTCTTCCATGAAGCCGGAACCCTGTAGGACTGTTTGAGTTCAGCAGTCACTTTCCTGTGGGTCCTGCATGTCCAGTTTATATATCAACAGTCAAGCAGTCCAGGCAAGAGCAGTTTCTTGACCAAATGGCTAATTTTGCCATGTTGAAAGCAAACTCCATAACGAGTTTCTTTGATGTCCATCTTCCTCTCATGCATAATTGGTGCTGCCAGGAGCAGACATTTCTCATCGTCAAGAAAAGCCTAAACCACTTTAAATGCCAATTTCTGAAGGTCTTTGAAAGGGTTGAAGACTATCTACTATCTCAAATATATCTCTCTATCTAGAAAACCTAACTAACCTAACTATAAATTCTGACTATTATAAGTAACTATCTATAATCTGTATTTAATTATGCATTACGTTTTAAAAGACAGTATAAGCAAAATACTTAATCAAGAGGAGAAATATACATATCACAAAACTGACCTTGAATTTGTATCAACAAATGAAAAGGCATACCAATACAAAGTATTCATTTCAATACCATAAACTACTTTTACCTTAAAAAAAAGATTGGTTGTGATCATTAACCCATTATAAGGAACCCCGTTCATATGAAAACAAAGATTTATAAACAATATGGGAATTTGGACATTGCTCATTCCAAACTGCTTTCTTAGCCACTGAGCAACTCTTTGGAAATCTGCTTGCCTCTGCCTCTGGAGTGCTGGGATTAAAGATGTGTGCCACCACACCCAGCTACTTCATTTATTTTTATTTTTTCCAATATCTTGTTTCTTTTACTATCCCAAGTCTACCTATATTTTTCTTCATCTGAATCTCACTTTACTGTAAAACTTTGTTTTTATGGCCACGTGTCTTATATAGGCTAAAGAAAATTGCTAAAATTAAAGTGGAAACAGCTGCTGGGTTTCCAATATGGTGGGCGTAAGTTTGAGTCCAGTTCATGGCCTCAGTCTATGCTGCCAGATGCTCGTCAGATGCTCGTGCACACCACTCAATTGTTAGCAGAGCCTCTTAAAAGAACCTTGCTGGTTTTTTTTTTTTTTTTGCTCATGCTGTGTCAGGAAGACTCCCTTAAGTGAGCAGCGTGAGTCTCTGCTTGTCTCTAGCAAAACCAGAGCCCATCTGAGAAAAATGCTGCTACCAAGAAGCCATGCTTCTCCCCATTCTTTTGTTTCTAAAATTCCTTTTAAGCTTTTGTCATTCTATGTGGAAATTCATATCCCACTTCTGACAACCATATGTAGAGTGCAGCCTTCCCCGCCATTGCCTAGGCCCTGCAACAGTTGCAGTCCCCAAATAACACACAGGACGCTATATTAATTATAAAGCTGTTGGCTATTTGCTTGTTTCTTACTGGCTGCTCTGACTTAAGTATGTAACCCATAATTGTATTACTCTTACCAGAGAAAAGGGTCCGGGCCTCTTACTCCTCTGGCGGGCTAAATTGTGTCTGCCTGTGTCTCTCCCAGAATCCTCCTCCACTCCTAGTCCCGCCTATCTCTATTCCCTATTGGCCAACAGTGCTTTATTTCCCATCCCTCTCTAACATCACAGATTATTGCCAAAGCAAGTGATTTCTTGGCACAACCTGATGAAAAGGCCTTATTGCTGATGACAACACTTAACTTATGTTATCAAACTTGGAAAAGTAAAACTGGTGCCTACCCAGATGCTTCACCCCTGCTGACTAATGTTCACAGAGGCAGAAAGTACTCTGCACGTTACGGTGTTGGGGGAAGGGGGGGAAAGTAATCGTCAACATCACCCAGATACAAACCCTGTATTCTACAGCAGAGACCTGCCTGAAAGTTATACTGGTGTGATATTTTGGCACAAAGGTTATGGAAGTAACTGTATTAGTCAGGGTTCTCTCTAGAGTAATAGAACTTAGATAATGAATCTCTCTATATATGGAAAGAAAGGCAATTTAATATAGTGATTTACAGGCTGTAGTCCAGCTAACCCAACAATGGCTGGCTATGAACAGAAAGTCCAAGAATCCAAAACTTTCTCAGTCCATGAGGCTGAATGTGTCAGCCGGTCTTCAGTATATGCTGGAATCCTAAAGAAGTAGGCACTAATGTCAATGCCAGAATAGACTAGTTATCAAAGAGCAAAAGATTACATCTGGAATAAACTAGAACCCAAAAATGGAGAGCACACCTGTGATGAATTTATGCCTATTTTGAAATGGAAAGATGGGCTTCTAATCCGGATCTTTGAATTAGGAAGATGCACCCTTAATCTCTGGTCTTTAACCCAGATCTAATCTGGGTCATTTACTCTGCTGTCCACTTCTGGAATGTGCCTGAATAATATGCAAAACCATCAGCAAACCAGGCCCCAGTCTTCTCTTCTGCGGGGCCATCCTTTTCCTCGTGGTTCGTTGGCCACTAGTCTGCGAGGACAAAGGGAGCGTGTGGGATTTGTGCAGCGATGAGTGTGATAGAACTACCCTTTCAGGAGTCAGCTCCAGCGAGGCAGCTCAACTTTATTCCAAAGTGAGGGGAATACATAGGACAACAGTCAGCACCTGGAACATCACCTAATGGGTGCTCACAGCGTGTTTCATTTGGTCAAACTGGGGTAGAGAAGAAGGGAGACAGTGCTCTGGCATCCTCCAAGTGGGCCAGTCCCTGGAGCCTAGAACGGTGTTGCGACCTAGGTATGTGTCTCCCTAACAAAGAAATGCCATTGGAGAATGTTAGGGGAACTGGGCAGAGCATGAGAATGAGCATCCAAGACAGCAAAAGCAGCCAGGAGAATAATGGAAAGGGAAGGCTGGTGCGGGCAGCTGCATCAGGTTGCATCAATAAGGCCATGTATGTCCCCCCCCAGGTATTCTGGTCATGAGCCCTTGGGTGTCTGCATTACTCCCTCTTTGATATCTCTGTGATCGACAAGTGTGCCATCTTCTTGACTGGGGGGCGGGCTGTGTCAGACTTTGTGGGGTGGTGTCTGGACAGGGAGAGCAAATCCCCTTCCAATTGTTAGCAGGCGTTGGGTCCCTTCTAACACCTATCAAGTGGGTCCTCCCATTGGACCAGAATGGATGGGTGGTGCGTGCAGTGGGTGGCTCTAATGATGGACAGTGGGGGAGGTTGCCCTGGGTAGCATAAACATTCAGCCCATTGAGTGTGAATAGTACCAGATTTAACTGAATGTTTGGAGGTCGGGAGTCCTGGCCTTGTTTGACTAGTTTTGTTGTTGTTGTTGTTGTTTGTTTTGAGCGTTTGGTGTGTTCTTTTAATAACAGCTTGGCCCTGAGGATTGTGAGCGATGCTTGTGGTGGACTGTTTTCAGAGCCTTGCAAACTTATAAAACTGGTGGCCCCTCTAAAGGCTGGTCCATTATCAGTTTTGATCTGGAGAGGGGTACCCCATAATAGTGAAGGTTGAGAGCAAGTGGTTAATTAGTTTCTTTGAGTTTTCACTACTTTGTGCCGTAGCCCAGGTGAAACGGGAGTAAGTGTCAATGTTGACAAACACAAGTTTCTGTCTACCAAATGATTGAATACAGGTGATGGCAATCTGCTAGAGGTCATTGGCTTTAAGCCCTCTGGGATTCGTGCCCAATTGTTGCATATGCCCAATCATTGCATAGCAGTTGTGTTGATTAGGGAGACACGAGAGGAGCGAGTTTTGAGGATGTGTTTAAGGTGTTTTATGGGGGCACTTAAATTGCAGCCCCCTCAAGTTGATATGGCTCAGCTGATGGAATTCTTTAGCAGTGAGGGGTGGCATAGTGAAAGCCCATGGTTGTGGCAATCTTATTGGCTAAGGCTTCACCATCAGAGCGGGAATCCAGGGAGATATGAGTGTGACCATACATGGTGGACAAATTGGGACATTTTCTTGTTTGGAGTATGTTTGGCACTTTTATTAGTCGTGGGGGAGAAATGATTACCGTCAAGCTTAATATAAGAGCGGGCCAGCCAAGGGAGTAGGTTAACCGCATAAACGCTATTTGAATATATTAGACTGAACAGTTCTTGGGGGTGTGTTAGAGCCAAGAAGATGACATACAGTTCCTTGAACTTGGGGGATTTATCTGGGAGGAAGAAAAAGATGTGAATCAGTATCATTGTCTCCTCGATAGCTTGCATATGTGGCCCCTTGATGAGCCCTCCCCGTCTGTGGAAGCGGTGGGAACTGTGGGATAGGGGATGGGAAGAATTAGTGGAGAGGAGTAGTAAGGTTGGCAGAAATTTATCCTCGAGGTAGTGGCTGTCTGTTCTTCCTGAGAAGCTTATGAGGTGATTAGCAAAAGAAGCATGGTTTCCCAGGAGCCATGGGACATCTGGGAAGGGTAAAACAACCCTATCAGGTTCTTTCCCTGCGCTCTCTTCCTGTCCTTATTATAGTGAATAAAGCATTGATCTCAGCTAATAATCGAGGAGCTCCCCCTATTGGTGTATGGAGCAAGCCTGGGATCCCCTGAGACTGGTATAAGGCTTTCACTACTGTTGGAGAGGAGTTGGATATAAGGACTGGTTTTTGTGGGTCATAGCAAGCCAGGGATTTATTTTTAGTGTGGCTGTTAATAGCATAAAGGGCTTCCTTGGCTGCTGGTGTCAAGGAGCGAGGAGAGAACAGGCCTTTGTCATCCTTAAGTGAGTCAAATAGAGGCTGCAATGGGCTGGGTGGTATGGGAAGCCTAGTCCCTGTCAATCAATATTGCCTGAGAAGCTTTGGAGGATATTTAGGGTTGTTGGCTTGGGGAAGTCAACAACAGGTTTAGCTGGCTAGGGTCATCTCTGTCCCCAGGAAGGTGATGGGGGGGGGATGGGACAAGTTGGATCTTACCTTCTGCTGTCATAAATCCCCTTTCTTTTACGGCTTTTATGATTAAGATTCTCTAAGGTTAGTTTTTGGTCCTGTTTTTTTTTTTTTGTCTTGCCATGTTAATAGGTCATCCATGCAATGATATTATGTGGAGACTGGTTTAACAGGGTTTTTTTAATGCATGGGGTAGAGCTTCCTAACGAATAGTCAGGTGTTAACCATGATGTCTTG